GCAAGATTTATGAATAAACTACTTAAATATGTCTAATTACATAAGATATTTGGCCTTTTGTGTGATATATAGACAGAAAAATAACACGTGCCTGTACAATGTTACATTGGGTCGATTTTAGCTTTTTATAATGCTACATCCCGTAATGCTGCAGCGACGAATTTTTATTAATACTTAAGAGGGAGCAGAGGAAAAATTCCTAATCTTCGATTTGATTTTAGTGGGGTATATCCACTTTAAAGTTAAAAATGAAATATTGTTTGAGTAACTACACGATATATTCAAGCATAGACACTAATCAGAAACATGAAACAATAAAGTTTCCTCGATAGATAAAAATCACGAAATGACCTCTAATTTTCACATTTTTTCGATTCATCCTCGAAATGCTGCAGGTTATTAGGACAAAAATTAGATAATTAATTATATTTATGCATGATCGAGAACTGTCACTACGGATTTTTTTTTAATCCCTTTACTTTTAGAGTTATTCCGCTAAAACGAATTTGGTACTTTTAATGCGCAAAATTCAACATCTCCTGTCGCATGTCACGCGAACTTCAGGCATATATTTGTTTCACAAATTTGGGCGGAGCCAACGCTTTTTTGGCATGCTCCCTCTTAATTGTTCTCACTATCAATATTTTTGTCTATTTTATAACAATACATGCGAATAATTCAATAAAACACTTGGAAAAACATTTGTTTTGACATGTCATGTACTTCCCTTTGACAACCGTATCATGTACCTCATGTACTGCGAAATGGACGCGGTTGGCATTTAAGATGACGTTACGTATTTTCGATTCCCGTGTTTGACACAGACCAATGTAATGCTATCTCTTTTGGCTTAAGACGGCACGCAATAGTTAAACAAAGACAATAACATGTCTATGTTTTGAACATCGAAATGCATCATATACTTGTAACATCTCATTTATATATGTCAACATAACATGTCCTTTAGTTTCCATAGTCTAAGATCGAATGCCATATTTTTTGGCGGGAAATTACTTGTTATTTTTTAAATATGACCAGTTGAATTGTACGTATCGCATTGAAAATGAATTTAATGCGTAAAAATTTTAGAGCGATGATTTTTTTATAACTTTAAAAGTTCTCTTTCTCCACAACAGTGCTGTGCTCGCCTAGATGATGATGAGATTCGTGAAAGTCGTCTGTCAACTGCAGTGAATAATGAAAACGTGGCTACTAACAAGCGACTCATTGAAGAAAATCGGCGTTTGACCTACGAGGAGATTCGTGGACAATTAGAGATCGGTATGAGCCAAATTGAAAAAAATTGTACAAGCATTTGCAAGTCAGGAAACTGTGTTGTCGCTGAATACCGCACGAACTTACATCAGACTAGAAACGGGTTCGTGTTATTTGGTGCAAACAAATGTTGCTAAAGTTTGACCACGGGCGTTCAAACGCTGTTGTTCGTTCAAATGGGTCTACAAATGTGACAACAGACCAACAAAATTGCAACAAGCCACAAGTGTAGGCTAAAAGATGATAGCGAGTTTTTTTCTCTACAACGGGTTATGTTTGCTCTGTTGCCCTATAAGAACAAACAACAGTGAATGTTTAATGGTACATCACCGTTTGTCTCGCTCGCGAGAGGCGACCAAGAAGTCGCATTCTCTTGCACCACGATAATGCTTCTTCTCATACGTCGGACAAAATAAAAGCATTTCAGCAACGGCAAGCAGTCCAATTTGAACTTCGGCAGATACATTGAATCCATGACCAAAAATGCAACAAGGAAGCTTGGCATCCTTTCCAGGGTGAGGCGTTACTTTACACCGGGACAGTTGCTTCAGCTGTACCAAGCACAAGTCTGGTCGTGAATGGAGTACTGCTGCCACTTTTGGGGTGGCTCTGCTACTTAACAACTGGCCACTTTGGATTCAATTGACAATCGTGTCAAGAGGCTTATAGGTGACTCGGAGTTAGTGGAGGCTAAGCTTGAATACCGCCGTAAATTTGCCTGCTTATCGGTATTTTATAGGATATGGATATATCACGGAGAGTGTGCGATGAAACTACACGATTTAATTCCGCCTTTCCCTTTCCATCACCGGGGGACTAAGCGTAGGCTTGGGTTCCACTCCTATGTTGTGGATATTCCAAAGATTCGTACGAAGTGTTACGCTTCCACATTTATACGGCTACGGAGTGAAATTTCCTGCATGCAGACCTATTCCCTGAACGTTAAACTTGGATTTTTCAAGGCGAGAGCGAATAAGTATTATTTGGGTGTGTAAGGTCCATCGTCGACCCCATCATCACTTTCTATCAGGTGAGATGATGGAGGTCAAATGCGCACTTATATTTAAAAAAAAAGGTGTATATTATGTCGTATATTTTTATAAGAACGTTATTTTAATAGTAAACACCTAAACCATTTTGATCTAGCAAAACAGTTTTTCCCGCTTCTCTTCTGGTGAATCGCATTAAAACAGAATTTATATAATTCCGTGGAAAGCGATTATAAATACAATATGATCCACAATTTCGTTATGTACTTCAATAGTTTTTATTTAATATAAAAACTATTGAAGTACACGAGTAGGCGGGAGCTTACTGTTGAACATAAATTATGCACGAATGTACAGATCGTAAAAAAGGAAATTGCAGCAGCACAACAAAGTTTGTACTAGTTGTTTACGTTGATTACAAGATAGGTTTTAACGAAGCGCGAATAATTGGTCGTAAACCCAATTTTCTCACAATATATAGCACATAAGCGTTGTTTTCTTAATTACGAGTCTCCTAAACTTTGAAACATCAATGTATTAACTGTCTCCGTGGCCGAACGGTTACCATGCCGGACTGCCACGCAGAGGTCCCAGATTCGATTCCCGGACCCGGAGAAATATTTGTATGGCCTACTTTTATTTCTCTCGTGAATTTGGGTGTAATTTGTGGTTGTCTACGTGTGTGTCCACGGCACCCGCGACACAGGTTTCCCTAGTGCGGGGCTATGTTGAGTGTGTGCGTTATTATTATTATGTTTATTTTAAACTCTCGCCTCTCTCAAGGCCTAAAAGACTAATTTTGAATTTTTAAATGGGAGAGGCGGTATTTCCCGGCTATGGCACATTCGGCCGGGGTCAGGGACTCAGTTCCAAGAATCGGCGAACAATACGTGCCGTATCGAGCAGGACCGCCTTCTGCATTTGTGCTGGAAGCGACACGCCACAGAAATCCAACCGCCTCAAGCTGTTAGAAAGGCTGACTGGAATTAACCCATTTGCGGACAAAACAATTGGGATTATTTCAGTGGAGGCCACATCCCACATGTCGGTGATCTCGTGCGCCAGGTCGAGATACTTCCGGCGTTTCTCGGTGTCAGCTTTCACGAGACCCTCGTCATGCGGGATGGTCACGTCCACAAGAAATACCCTCGACTGCGATCGGTCCAATATCACAATATCAGGCTTATTCGCAAGAATAGTCCTGTCCGTGATAATAGATCGATCCCAATAGATTTTGGTGCGGTCATCTTCGAGTATTGGCTCCGGCGAATACTTGTAATATGGCAACCTCTGTTGCACTAGTCCGTACTTGAGAGCGAGCTCTTGGTGTAATATTTTGGCTGCCTGGTTGTGTCTGTGCAAGTACTCAGTGTTAGCAAGAGCGGAATAATTATTAGTATTATTAAAATGTTTTTTTCCTGTGAAAGCTTAAGGCGGTCCGTTAGTACTTAGGTTAAATATTTTGAAGATAAAATAAATTTTGTAATACCACCAGCCAGTCATCACTTACAATAGATATAGCCTAAAATACGCTAGCAAGTTCTTATCTAAATTTGTACATAGTTATTTGTTAACTACAAACAACCTCGCAGGATTATATTAATAATATGTAATATCATAAACAACAATATTTTGTTCCATGATTTTTTTCAACAATAAACTTCTAATAATATTTTTTCTGTATATCTGTAATAATCTGATATTTTTTAGATCTCCTATCATTTCCTGCCGCACTGATTTATCACCGTTTAGAGCGATCTACTTCATTTTATTTTTAATAATACCAAGTGATGGGACGAACAAGTCGTTCGCTTGGTGGTAAGCGAAACCCTATTCATACAGTTGCAGTGCTACTCAGAGCTTTAAATCGCAAAGACATTATGGCACTGCCACTGCGCCCGTCTGAGACATAAAGTGATAAGTCCCATGTGCCTGTAATTTCACCAGCACCCTTACCCTTCCAAACCGGAACGCTGTAATGCACACATTACTGCTTGGCGGCTTTATTTATGTGGGAAAGTAAAATGCAACGATTTATTAAAAGACATGGAAAGAAAGTTGTTTTTTATAATGTTAGTAATATAGTCCTGTGAGGTTGTTAGTATTGTACAAGTGTGACGGTGTGACCTCCTTACACCGTCATCTCACCTCTTTGTATCGCCTCTCTCCTCTTGTATCTTATCATTTTTTTTATTTTACTTGTATTTAAATTTTAAATTTGAATTGTTCCATCTTCCTTCAATTTCTCATTTTGTTTTCGTACCACGGTCACTCCCAGCTCGACCGCCACAACAGTCAGAGCTGTTAATAAGCTAATCATGTGTAATAATTTATAAGTCTACACCCTTAATGTATCTATTTCTGTAATTCAGTTTCTTGGCCCATTTAGGGGTAAGTGCCTTAATAACAAAGTGTAGAGAGTGTTTTATACTGTTATACCTGTTTTTTTTACATTTACCTTTATATTGTTACAGCCTTTCTTAAAACTTTACTTCTTTAATAAATTTTGTGGACCGGAAGTTTCCCATTTCATTGCCGTGAACCTGTTCACGGCTAGTTAGGGTTACAACCCTTTTACAAGTAACCCTGTATGTACCTCGCACATTTGCGGAACAAAAACGAAGGGAGAGAACGACTGGACCCGAACTAGCGTCTGTTGCCACGCGGGTGCAACTGCTCTTACCAAATGAGTTACAGACTGGGACAACAACTCTACAAATTTCTCTATGTGCTTGTTTCAGATCTTTATATCGGGCGTTAAAGGCTTCTTTGCAGTCAACGCCACATATGAGGAACTTATGAAACTTTCTTCACTGAGCCAGGTACCTTTCTTTACATTTATTTTTTTCGTTGCCGACATGTATCAATTAAAAAATTTACTAGTAGAGTACTTATCAAGTTCTAACGTTGGTTTGTTTGAAAAACCAAATATACGCGACTTAAATTCGGAAAGATAGTTTCATTTCCTAGTGGAGTACTTTCACAAAAAAAGCTCTTGCGAACCATTAGGGTGTCCGATTTGTAAACTCAAAGATCGGTTACACGTGCGCGATTTTAAGCATCGATGCAATCGCACATTTGTGTCTATGCAATCGCTATAAGTCGCCGTGTGTAACCACTCTAACGGGTCGCGAGAGCTATGTTGGAGGACCTCGCAGAGTTGAGCTTTGTTGACGCTATTGGCCGCAAGTGTCATCAGTTGAAGTCCTATAATGGGCAAGTCAGGCTATGTGCCTATTCGATGACCGGTCTGTATATGAATATCTTGGTAGATCATCATCATGTATACGTTCCACTGGTGGGCACGGGTCTCCTCTCATATGACGATTTAGGTCATAGTCTAATGCGGACTGGGGACTTCACACGTTTTGAATCTTCTTTGACATGCAAGTTTCATCAAGATGTTTTCCTTCACAGAAAAGCTAATAGTAAATTCCAAATAAAATTTTGCACATAACTTCTGAAAAGTCAGAGGTGCAAACCCGGATTCGAAGCCACGCACTCTGCTTGAGAGGTGGTAGGATAAAACCATTAGGTTACCACGGTTTTATAATTTAGTTAAGATGTTAAATGTGTTCTTTCTAAGTCTAAAGAACGTTAGTACATTTTTAACCTAAGCACAAGAGGGCGCGACTTGCGCGAGAGGTGAACCGTGACCATGGGCCCCGTAAAGGGCCCGAAACGTCGGTTTGTTTGAAAAACAAATATACGTATATAATCAAATGTTTAAAAAAAACTTGATCCTTAGATATATTTCTTTCTGAGTAATATCTACGTTAATATTAAAAAAGTGTTTATTCCCTCTTGTTTTCCTTTTGATTTCCCTGATGTACTGACTAGATTTAACCGAATTACCATTCTTAGGTTATCATGTTACCTACTGTAACATTACTTGTACATATACCGCAGCAGTAGAGCGTAACTATTAAGTCTGTATTAGAGCTTCTTGTGAAAGATTTCGTCCAGGTAAGTACTGCCATTTTGCCTGCTACTGCCGCCAAACCATAATGTGATCATTACTGCGCTTCGGTTGTAAAGGGTACTGGTGAAATTACAGGAACATAGGACTTGTTAACTTACGTCTCAGTGTGACGGCGCAGTGTCAGTGCCCTGCAGATCTTTGCAAATTAAAGCTCAGAGTGGCACGGCAAATGATATGGACAGGCGTACTTACCATCAAATGCACGACTTGTTCGTCCCGTCGCTATAATAAAAACGTAATTTGCAGTCCATACACCAAGCCGCTCGACCAATTGACGTAGATGTTTAGGGACGAAATTAAGTATTGGCTTTAAATACAAAACTGTTCATCTTTAAGCAATACTCCAAAACGCCATGGACAGAGTTATCTCTTACTTACTCTTAATCGGTATCATGAAAAAAACTCCTTCTCCGTCCTCACTTGCGGTGTTGTTCTCAAACGTCCCAAAAGGGTCAACACGATTTGTTATTAAATTGTGTTTATAAATTTTGCTTTGAAATTAGTAGTAGTAGCTATAAATGCTATGTTATAATTAGTCTCGTTAAGGGTATATAGATCTATATTATACGCATATCAGATGTGGTATTAAAAATATATGTTTTTATTACACCTACCATGTGAAACATGTGAATAATAACGCACAAAACTCCACATGGGGCTATGTTAAAATGCTAATGCTAATAAATCTGACATATTATCGTCACTTCGTCAGTTTTTTTTAAATAACGCACACACTCAACGTTGCCCCGACTAGGGAAACCCTATGTCGCGAGTGCCATGGACACACACATAGACAACCACAAATTATACCTAAACTCACGAGAGAAATAAATGTAGGCAATATAAATATTTCTCAAACCCGGGATCTATGCGCGGCAGACCAGTGTGGTAACTAAGTCCTATTGCATTTCTTCACATGCTACAACTGCCTCGGTGGCCGAACGGTTACCATGCCGGAATGCCACACAGAGGTCCCAGGATCGATTTCTGATTTTATTTCTATGGCCTACATTTATTTCTCTCGTGAGTTTGGGTGTAATTTGTGGTTGTCTATGTGTGTGTCCTTGGCACCCGCGACATAGGGTTACCCTAGTGCGGGGCTATGTTGAGTGTGTGCGTTATTATTATTATTTTAGAATGAAATATCTAACTGAAAATAATTTTTATATAAAGATATTTCCCTTTAAGTATTACAGAGAATCTGCAAAATTTTGGTATTCAAGTGAAGCTCTACAGTTTTTCAATTACTTTTATCCCAAAACTTGGGAATTGGGAAAGAGTTCGTCCAGGAAAGTACTGCCAGCTTACCTATTTCTGCCGCCAAGCAGTAATGTGAGTATTATTGCGTTCTGGTTTTGAAGGGTAATGGTGCAGGTGAAATTACAGGCACATGAGACTTGTCAACTTATGTCTCAGGGTGCCGGGAACAGTGACAATGCTCCTAAGATCTTTTCGATTAAAAGCTAGTGGCAACTATGATGCAGGACGTAACTGCCTCTGTGGTCGAACGGTTACCATGAAATATTTGTGGAATAGAATAGAATTTATTGCAACGCCACAACACATAGATACAAAAAAAAAACAAAAAATGGTAACATAGACAAACAAAACCAAATAAAAAGAATTAATAAAAAAAATACAGAATACAATAAAAAAACATAAAATAAGATAAATGAAACAAAAAGCAAAAAAAAAGATATAATGACTACAAATTTTGTACTGTCATATGTGTGGTTGTGGCGTACGCAAAAGGACATCATTCAGCATAAGCCACAGTCATATTTGATTGACGCTGGTTTTCAATGAGCCCTGAGCCGAAATGAGTGACTGACGTGTGTGTCGCGAAATAAAAGAACTTAAAATAAATTACTTAAATATTTGTGTATGTGTTCTTTGTACATTGTGTTACAGCTGTGTATTATATTATAGATCGTAAAAGTAATAGCAAAATATAAATATACCTATTGTATAATAATATATTGTGTGGCCTATACTTATTTCTCTAGTGAGATTGGGTGCAATTTGTGGGTGTCCATGACACCTGCCGATACAGGGTTTCCCTAGTGCGGAGCTATGAGTGTATGAGTTATTATAGGTGAGTCGCTTACCTACTAGGCGCACGACTTCTTCCTCCTGTCATTTTGTATTATGAAAAATAAAATAAAAATTTACAAAATCCTACAATTGGCACTCTATGGACACGCAACTGAGATGATTTAAAATAATAACTTGGGACCCTGGTTTGCACTATTCGCGTACGTATCATCATAGGTACGGTAGGCTATTGTTACCTTTTGTATACCTGCGAGTCATCAAGCCAAGCAGTTGTGACTCTATATCCTCCTTGCTTTTGTGACTTTATTTTTATTGTTAATATCAATGCATCTTATCCGGCTTATAAAATTCTCTTTAAATGTTTTTGTTCTTTGTTGGTACTGAAGTTGGTTATTTTTTGTTGTTTATTAACTGGAACTGAACAGGATTATAAGAAATTTATGAATGTACCAAAATTAAATGTGAACCACCTCTCTTTGTGTTCTACCATTCATATTTTAGTAGCAGTGTAGCTCCTTGTGACAGAGTTCGTCCAGGGAAGTACTGCCAACCTTACCTACTTCTGCCGCCAAGCAGTAATGTCAGCATAACTGTCTTCCAGTCTTGAAGGGTAAGGGTGCTGGTGAAATTACAGACAGGTAATTATAGACAGGACAAAAATTATAAGCTTATTGTAACATACTTAGTTATTGTAGTAGACTAAGTTATTGTTTTTTTAGGCAACACACTTGACGGACGTAAGACCTAGCTACCAATAGTACAGGGGATCCTAGTTTGGAGCTAGGCTTATCTCTGTACTTATTTTTTGGGTATTTTGCAATAAAGATGTTATTAACTTAGAATAATAACGCATAGAATGATAGTTTCATATCAAACGAACTGTCACAAGTGAGGCAAAAATCAAATTCATGTAGGCTAGTTTTAGTAGTACGTTAATTTTCAGTTTTAGTGAATATTTATATAAAAGTACAAGTTGAAACGCGTAACTTCCTTGTGGAATGTGATGTTAGTAACATAATATGTTTGTCTGACGTATTTTTACACTCATTTACCGCACATTTCGTCATTTTTAGCTAAAATTCTGGAGCTGTTCGCGGTGCAAGCTGACCTTGAGCACTGAAGGCCTGCTCGCTCGTGTAGGCCCTTTGGGAGCGCTTCAATTTGCCTCACTTAGCGTGTGCGGGCTAGATTTCTATACGTTATTATTCTAAGGTTATTAAAATAAAACTTGAAATTCTCACAACTACATACCACCGTCACATATAGATCAGCTCAATATATACCAGCCCACCCCGACTAAACTACAAAATACCCACGTCTTATCGTCAAAAACCAGCATAATTTGCATTAACTCTTTCACAAGGAGCTCTTCTGCTACTAATTATTGGCATAGTGTTATCTAAAGAGATTCTTAATGCATCTCAATGGCCAATATTGATTAGGTGTTTATATTGGTGTAATAGTGTCAGACAACAACGTCAATTTTATGGTTTCAAACTAAGAAATTCTAACTACAACCCAGAACAATCAAACTAATCAATCAAAATAATTACCCAAATTGGTACTGCTGGGAATACAAGGCTCTAACAATGTTAACTGCTACCGGAGTCATCAAAGATTTTGTTTCCGTGGTGCATGCCCAGGGGAAATAAATAGGGTCTTCTGTATGGAGAGCAAATGTTCCAACTAGTTCATCACTGCTGGCTATGATTAGAAAAGCGCTTGTATTTTCTTACTTAACGAGAAGGTTAAGAGAAAGAACCCGAAAGTTCTTTCACAATTCGT